TGACCAAGAGCCAGGGTCTTAATAGCCCAGAGACCTAGGATAAAACCAAGTACTGCTGGTCTAAAAAACCAACAACAGAACAACAACAACAAAAACAGCTGGAGAGATGGCTCAGTAGTTGAGAACACTGACTGTTGTTCCATAAGATCCTGGTTCAACTCCCAGCACCCATGGCAACTCACAACTGTCTGTAACTCTAGTTCCTGGGGACTCAACTCCCTTGGCAAAACACCAATGCACATAAAAATGAAATAAAATGACCCCTAATGATATTTTGCTATACTTAAACACATAGATCAGTGCCTTATTCAACCATCATCAGAGAGGCTTCCTCCTACAGCAAATGGGAACAAATACAGAGACACAGTCAAACATCAGAAATACACAAACACACGCACATACACATACACACAGACCTTGGAACTCACAACGCTAAGTGAGTGTCTCCATTAAACCCTTCCCCTCCGGTCTGTCTCAGGGAACCCGGCAGAAAAGAAGGCAGACAGAATGGAGGAGACAGAGAGGAAGGAGGACATCAGGAAAACAAGGGCCTTTAAACCAACTGAGCAAAGCTCACATGAACTCACAGAGGCTGAAGCAGCACACACAGGGCGCACAATCCTTTGGGTAGAACCCGGGACAACTTGGTACACACCTGCCACTTGGCTGCATTGTTGTCCTGCCAAGGATCAGTGGAGACCAACCAGAAAGCAGACCTGAAATTGCAGTTTACCCTGGGCAACACCTGACTCCAGGAGAGACCACAAGCTAGGCACCACCCAGGAATGGACCATCCCCTTTCAGCAAGACACACCTAGACAAATGTCAGTCAATCAGGGTCTTGAACCTTGAAAATCCCCTCATCTCCAACCTCTGCTATGACAAAAGCCCTACCCCACCTGGGAGGGGCACTCTGCTTTCAACCGCAAGTTGAACCGACAAAGAGTCCAAACTTGAGCTTGAATAAAGACTCTTTTGCTTTTACATACGGGATTTGGTCTCTTCATTGGTTTTTGGGGACTCCGTGATCTGGGCACAATACATATATACTGTAGTTTCAGTTTAGTACTTTCATGAGACTCCTGACTGTGTAAATGAGCGGGTCTCTGATTCTTGTGCCTTCTTTTGGGGCTCTTTCATTTTTATGTTGGCTTGCCTTGTCCAACTTTGATGTGATGGTTTTGTTTTATTATATTTTATGTTAGTATATTTTGTTGTTATTTCCCAGAAGCCTGTTCTTTTATAATGAGACAGAAGGGAGTAGATCCTGATAGGAGAGGAATGAGAAGCAACTGGGAGGAATGGAGGGAGAGGAAACTGTATTCAGATTATATTGTATGAGAAAGAATATATTAATCAGGGAGAAAAAATCCAAGAAAACAAAACAAAAAACTTAAATGTATTAAACCTGTCTTAAAAATACTGAGATCAGCTTTTACTTACCTGTTCTTCCTTCCTTTCTTCCTTCCTTCCTTCCTTCCTTCCTTCCTTCCTTCCTTCCTTCTCTTTTGTAATAGGTTTAGCTTTATTGCCCAGGTTGACCCTGAACTTGTGGCTGTAACAGATCTCTAACTCAGTGTTCAGACAGAGTAGGTGGTACTAGACTTTTATGCTCTAGTACCCATGAGGAACACTTCTTTAAGTTTCCAAATAATAGCAAGCATTCCATAAGGTTTGCAGACACACCTGTAAGAAGCCCAGAACAGCAAAGTTCTGTAAAGGAAATGGAGCCCAGAGTGGGTCTGTCAACCTCCAGGACAGCTGTGCACAGCATTTCTACAGAACTCCCAAACAGTATTCCTGTCTCCACCATTGTCTCATGTGTTCAACTTTAAACTGCGTCGGGAAGGATTAAAGATCCCATTTTATAAATTGCCCAATTAAAGCTTTAGGTGATATGTCATATGTCCAAGGATTTTGAAGCCTCTGCTTTTCCAGTGCCTTTCGTTAAGAGTGGATAGATATGGACAGATCACACAATCAAGGTACAGTCTCAATTTCACTAGAACTTCCCAAAAGTCTAACACTTGACTTTATGCATAGTTTTATGTTTTCTTTAACTTGGAGAGCCATCCAAACAAAAACAAAAACAAAACCTGATCATTCCTTCTTCATGGAGATCCACATCTGCAGGGAGTCAGAGTGTCTGACTTGGTAGCATGCCTTCTCCAGCAACTCAGTCTCTAGGATTCATCTATCTCCCCAGTCTGGCCAGTGCTGGAAGTGCTAGGGTCTCTGGCCAGCTTTAGGTCTATGAAATTTGCTATAATTCAGTGTTTCACTTGGAAACACACACACACACACACACACACACACACACACACACACTTAACTACATCGGCTCACTTCGGGGAGATACTCGGGAGGGCAGTATTGACTTGTTGACCACATATTTGCACAATTCTGGCTTTCTTTTCATTATAAAAGTTACCCTTAGCCTGCAGGAGATGGGATACAAGAAGAAAAGGGAATGGATCATTTCCAGGCTGCAACAACTCTCAGATTATACTAACCCAGGAGCAGAGCCCTTTTTAGCATTTGAAAGGGATGGCAATTGTATCACTGAGCCCCACTCTGACACCTCCAGACTTTTCCTGCCCAGAAAACAAAGAGCACAAAGCAAAACCACTCATACCCTTATTCCTCGGGGATTAGCAGAGACCTCCCACTAAACAAGAGTCCTTCTAGTGGTCAATTGGGGAGTATATTGAGGAGGAGGGCACTGGTTTAAAGACAGAATGTTTAACATCACCCAGGGAGGGCAGGCAGCTTCTGTTTTCCTTCCAAGGTGTACAAGGGTTGCAGCTGTCAGAACTGGATATTTCCATCCCAATTCCTTGCAGTTCTGCAGTATTTTCAGATTCTTGGTTCTGGCTGAACTTGGACAGCAGGGCCACTTTGATCCAGGGCAACATTCATAGTCATTAAATCAAAAGACACAGATTGATGCACTACTGTGTACCCAGCACTGTGGTAGGTACTGGAAGGAGGTAACCGGACAGCCCAGATGTAGAATCTAGACCCTTTGGATCGATTGGAAAGACTGATATTGAATAAGGAGACACACATTATTGTTTAAAGACAACTGTGAGAAATGTTAGAAGGTACACAGTGCTCCGTGTTTGATAAATGTCTAACAAGAGAGTGGTTGAGCTTATTCCATAATTCTACTTGTGAAGTAGAAAGAAACAAGCAAAAGGGCCCTTGGGGAAAGCCTGGCCTAGCCTAGGAATTAGAAGGGGTGTACTGAGGATAGGGAGGACAGAATGGGCCGGAGCCAGACAGCTGGGGATTTATGAATTGCTTTCTGTAAGCCTTTGCTTCTGGGGTCTTCAATGAGGGAAGTCACTTCAAAGGTTTGTAACCTCAAGAGTTTCAGAGAGATGGCTGGCTCTAGGGGTGAAAGTTCTGCCTCTAAGCCTGAGGACCTGAGTTCAAGACCCTAATGATAGAGAGAATCAATGTCCATAAAACGGAATACACACACACACACACACACACACACACACAGAGAGAGAGAGAGAGAGAGAGAGAGAGAGAGACTTTGATTAAGAAGAAAAAGGCTTATGGGCTGGGCCTTCACTCACACACAGACCTGACGACCTTAACATATGATCCCTGAATCTGGTAATCCCCGTAAATTGTCCTTTGACCTCCACATGGATATAGCCACACATGCACACCTGCACTTATATATATGCACAAAAGAAGGAAAGAAAGTTGTAGACAGACGCAAGGGTAGATGGATAGTTTCTACACCCGATAAGCCTCTCGGCCACTGCAGCAATGCAAATCAGACCAAATCAAACCAAATTAGAAAAAGCCCAACTTTAATGGATTCAATGCTCCTGGATGGCTTTCCAGCATCACCGCTGCCCCCACCTCTCCCTAAAGAGGAGATGGCAAAGAGAGATCAGAAAACCACAAGTCTGTTTTCTGGGGCACAGTTTAAATACCTTGTGGGAGTGGTCTTGAGCATCTCTGTGGGAGGGGGTCATCATTTGGCAGGCTTTCTGAGATGAGGTAGGGTTTGGGAGGGGGAGGGAGAGACGGAGGGAGGGAGACAGACAGACAGAGAGAGAGAGAGAGAGAGAGAGAGAGAGAGAGAGAGAGAGAGAGAGAGAGAACCCGAAGGGAGAGGGGGTTTTCCATCAGAACATCCCAGAATCCCAGACTTTTTGGGTACATGGATGCCAGGGCCTGGGGTGAAGCTTCCACCAGCATAGTAGATACAGGGAAAACAGTTAATAAGCTTTGTCAAAAACCAAAATGAGAAGTTCTCAAATCCTATGAATTGCCAGGGGCTTTGTTAAAATGCTAGTAGGGCCTTGGATAGAACCCGAGATTCTGCATTTTGAACACAGTCCCAGATGCCCATAAGCAAAGACCACAGGCACATACATGGCTAACAGATTTTGATCGGGGTTGCAATGGAGATGTCAAGAAGCAGATAGATGTATTTGAGCGCTAGCTCTTCTAATGGCAGAGCATGAAAGTGTCCAGAGACTTTGGGAGACTGAATGGTATTCACCTGTTGTTGATGACACTGTGGAGCTGCTGGCCTGCTCTGGGATGCCTCTCCTTCTCCTCCTCCTCCTCCTCCTCCTCCTCCTCCTCCTCCTCCTCCTCCTCCTCCTCCTCCTCTTCCTCCTCTTCCTCCTCCTCCTCCTCTTCCTGCTCTCCTCCTTCTCTTCCTTCTCCTCCTCCTCCTCCTCCTCTTCCTCCTCCTCCTGTGGACTAGTGAGATGGGGAAACCTATACTGCAGAAGCTATGGGCAACTGGTTTCGCCTGCTGCTAATGCTTTTGCAATTGCTAATGAGTTGTACACTATAGCTCTGAAGTTCCTTACACGTAGTTCAGATAGCAGGGGTGTTTAACTTCAAGCATTTATGTATTTCCTGAGTTAGTTTATTTGCAAAAGGGAGATAACAGTGTCTATTTTAAGAACTCTTGTACACTGTGGATGGAAGTTGGTAAATTAGTAAAGCGACGCTGAAGAGCAATTTGGCAGAATTTATTAAAATTGAAAATACATATTGTCTGAGACTCAAGAATCCTAGGTAAATCTCCGAGAGGCTCTTGGGCGATGCACTGAGAGACGGTATCCAATCATTCACTGAAACGTTTTTTCAATAAGAGAAAATTAGAAGCAGTGTAGACATCCATCAGAAAAAAATATGCAAGCGAGTACAGTAATTGTTATGCAGTGTGGAGCGAAGCAGCCTCACTGAAGAATTGACTCTCTGTACATCAGCACGGATGGACCTCAGAAGGTAGTGTCTGATGAGAGACAGAGAAAAGCAAATTGCACAGTGAGAAGTGCAGTGTGATCCATTTACACACGCTTTCAAAGCAGACACTGTGCTACATACTTTTATGGATCTGTAAGTCTATAGAAAATAGATCGGAAGGACACAGTAGCTACACTAGGAATAATGGATAAAGATAAAAAAGTAGGGGTCATGTCTAGACAGATGATTATATCATGCCAGTAACAGAAAAGAATGACTGATTGAATCAATTCAGTTCTGTGCCTGCAGCTCAACCTTAGAAGCAAAATAAAGAAAACCAAACATAATACTATTGCTTTTCTAGGATTCAATGACATAATAGCCCAATGTCTGGCACATAGTAAGGACTTAATAAACGGTAATCATTGCTGTTATTATGCTCGCCTTCTGCACTCTCTCTTTTCAAGTTCTATAGACTCTAGTACAATGGTCTTGCAAAGGAGGGGTTTGGTTGGGTACTTTTCTCTACCCTACATTTCCAATTCTCATTTATTGGCATGAAGGCTGTAAAAACAAAAGGCTTGGTTTGCAGCCAGGTATTGATGCTCACTGAGGCTACTCTAATGGGTTAAAAAGAAATGCTCCAAGGCAAGGACCCAATAAGAGCCTCAGCCCAACAATCCAATAAGTAACTCCTAGGGAGAGAATGCCTGCCTGTGTTCTACCTTGTGTTTGCATAAGTAGTTTATTAATCAAAACTAGGTTAAGCAAAAAAAAAAGAAAATATGGTAACCAAACAAACAAACAAAATAACCCAGGCATTCTAGAAAGCAGCTGGCTTCAGGCTTCTCATCTGAACTGTACACTTCTTGCTGTCTTGCACCTGCTTAATTCTGCTAAGTCCACTTCCAGGTACCAATTTCTGAACGAGTTCTACAAGCAGCTCAAGGAAGCTCTGACTCATCTGGGCAGAAAGGGGAATTTATTGGAAAGAAACTATAGAGCTCACAGAATTAAACAAAACACTAAAGCCTGGGCTTGGGCAAAAGAAGGAGCAGACTGGAGGATCTTAGAAATGCACACCTCTGTCTTTGATCATGTCACAAAACAACCCATTCCAACACGTAGTGTCATTCTCTCTAGAGAGATTGGTTTTACCTGCTTATTTCAGGTGATATGGGGAGGGGAGTGTGATTAGCAGTCCTATAAGACTACCTAAAATCTAAAGGAGAAGTCTCCCAGAAAAAATACTTCTAAAACAAGGGGCAATTTTGCTGGCCGATTTTGTGGGCTTGAGCTGCCACAGTAATATTCTACATGCAGAGTGGTTTAAACCAAGATTTTCCTCACGGATGTACAACTTCAAGGTTCAAAAGAAACCAGCTCATCCAAGTTCTGCTGGTTTATAGACAGTTGGTATGGTGCTGTGTCCTTAAAGCTACGAGAGCTCTGGGGTCTCTTCTAATTTTCATAAGGACATTAGTTCTATCAAGAAGTTCCCTCACCTTGACAGCATCCTCTAAATCTAATTATTTCCCAAAGGCCCCATTCTTAATAACATCTCCTTGAGGGTTAGGGTGTCAAGCCATAGCAGTGGGTCATCAAATATAACAGCTGTCCAAAACACAACTAAATGTGGTTTGCACATTATTCTATAATTCCAAAGGTGACACTCAAAATGGATATTAGAGCTAACTGATTAGCTCTCCTATCTAATTGTGGGAACTTGACTCCACACTGTGTATCTCCCTCTTTCATAGTTCCAAGAGTGGGCTCATGACAAACACTCCCTGTCTTAGTCAGGGCTCTCCAGAGGAACAGAAACAATAAAGCATGTATAATTATAAGAGTAGATTTATTTGGTTGTCTCTCACAACCGGAGTCTGAAGAGTCCCTCAATGGTCATCTGCAGGCGGTAGATCTGGGAAAACCAGTAGCTACTCTTCCCAAGAAGCTGGAAGCCCCAGAACCAGGGGGCTAATTACACAAGCCAGTTTATGGCTGAACGCCTGGGAGCTCCTGAGAGAGCTGCTGCTGTGAGTCCGCAGTCAAAAGCTGAAGAATCTAGACTTCGATGTTCTTGGGAGATGGCAGCAAAAACCACAGCTGAGACAGAACCAAGCTTATTTGTGGACTTGCCCCACCTTTTCTGTTTTTTGTCCCATCCTGGCCACCAGACTTGGTATGGGGTTGCTCACACTCAGGGCAGGTTTTTTCCCTCAGATTTAGCACCCACCCATTTGCTAATTGTTTCTGGAAACATTCCACAGATACGCCCAGAGGGAGGCTTTACCTTATCTGTAGGTGTCTCTCAACCTAGTCAGACACCCAAGATTAACCAGGCATGCTCCCTTAAGTCACTGGATACAAAGTCCCATAAATTATTAATAACCTAGTCAAAGGGCCTCAAATCTTCCAGGGAAGTGACTCTCAACTTTACCCCTGCCACAAATTAAAACCTGGTATACACCTGCTAAAGAGAACCCACACAGGGAACCAAATCAATAGCTCTGAGAGGGAGTTTAGGCATAGGTTTATTGTATTGTTTTGGCATCAGTACGTGTGAACACCTCAGGTGATTTGAAGTTTGGGGAGTCCTGGTTGAGGGGTGGTTTTCTTTCTCCTCCTGAAGAAAATCTGTGTCTGAGAGAGAGATGGCTGTCAGCTCTTTCTTTCATGACTACAGTGAGGGGAAGAGTTCCTTCTGCTGCAGTCTGTGTAGAGTCAAAGACAGAGCTGTTTAATCTTTTGAACCCTGGGAAGCTTAAGAGCAGAGTTCCCACAGGTCAGTTGCTGGTGAGGGTTCTCTGGCTGTGTGGCATTTGGGTGCCTTTCCCGTGTCTTTCTCTGTCTTCAAGTACACCAGTCCTCAGAGCTTCCCCTGTGTGCTCTCCTTTAAATGTAATCATCTCCATAAGTTCCAGTCTGGATCATAGAAATCTGGAGGCGACACAAGAGTTTTGTCGTGGCAGGTAGAACTCACTGGACTGTTGAGGAGCTTAAACTTTTGTTGTTGTTTGATTGGTTTTTGTTTTTGTTTGTTTTTGTTTTTTTTTGAGACAGGGTTTCTCTGTAGTTTTGGAGCCTGCCCTGACACTGACTCTGTAGACCAGGCTGGTCTCGAACTCACAGAGATCCGCCTTCCTCTGCCTCCCGAGTGCTGGGATTAAAGGTGTGTGGGCCACCACCTCCTGGCTGAGAAGGTTTTAAACTGTTAGAGCAGTTCTTTGTAGAAGCCCAAAGCTGTCTCTTTCTACATTCTAGATCTTCATCCTAATTCCACAGACAGGGCTAAAGGAAATGTGAGGCATTCAACACAGCTAATAAGGACTACTACAGAAATAAGCTTATCTGATAGGGCTGAGGTTGCATTAATCTATGTGTAAATTAGTATATACATACATAAATATACATATGTATAACTATACAGTGATAAATCATTAGGAGTCAGTTTAATACTTTGTTAGTTTAACAGCATAATAGCAGTAGGTTTTCCTCTAGAGCCTCTGACCTGCCTAGCCACAGATTCTTGGTTGATAATGGTGCTAGGTATGAGTTCCATCTTGTAGAGTAGGACTTAACTTGAACCAAAAGGTGTTTGGCTATTCCATGACATTCATGCCACTATGGTACTCTCGGGCATGTCTTAACCAGTCTAGCAATTATTATAGCTCACATGGTTCATATGTGTGTGCATTTGTATAATAATACAGGTACAGAGGAATTTTAAATATATTTTTCAAAATTGCATGTGAAAGAGTACATAGATCAGAGGACAGTCTGTGGGAGTAAGTGCTGTCTTCTACCATGCGGATTCTGAGTACCATACTCAGGTTCTCAGGCTTGGCATCAAGTGCCCTGTCCTTTGAACCACCTTTCATGCTTGGATTTTAAAATACATCAATGACAATGGTGGAGACAGATTCTCAAACTCCGTCTTGAAAAGATGATGGCTGGAGTTAGGAGAGGCAGGACCCAGACCCCAGGACGTTAGAATGTTGGGGTGAAGTGTGCTAATGTGCTTTAATATTTTGACATCATCCAGGCTTCTCAGAATTGACCCAGTCTGAAGATGTGACCATATCTCCACATCAAGAGCTGGGATGTGGACTGGAAACTGAGCTCAGTTTAGTATATACAAGGTGGTGGGTTCAATCCCTAGCACCACATAATCCAACTCACACAACTGTAACCCCAGCACTTGGGTTACACACACTTATAACCCCAGCACTTGGGGTACAGAGACAGGAGAATCACAATCTCCATCCACTTAGCAAGTTTGAGCCCAGCCTGAACTTACGAAATCCTTTCTCAAAATCAATAATACACACATACACCCTTACCTGAAGGCCCATGAGAGGCTTTTCTCCACAAGGCAGTATTTGCTTTCATTCATTTTCTCAGCTACCAGACTTATAGTTAGGTGTTATTTCCAATGTAACACAGCTAGGGACATTTTGAACCTTCGATAAGAAAGGAATGACATTCTAGACCCATAGAAGTTGTCAAGAATAACTCAAATGAATTATCAGGAGCTATGAAACAGTGTTTAAGACTGGAGTCTGAGTCGGGTGTTGGTGGCACACACCTTTAATCCCCGCACTTGGAAGGCACACACACACACACATATATATAAATACACACACATACATATATAAATACATACATATGACATCCTTTCAAGGATCCAAGGAGGTGGTATGAATGCACAGCCAGTGTAGATCTGAGAGGCTCCAAAATAAATGATGTCCCAAACTAAAGAAAGCTGAGATGCCATAATTTTGGTAGTACAGAGTAGAAACCTGGCTTCAAAGGCCCTGGGAAGTGCAACTTCTGAAGTGGATCCCTGGAAGCATCACCGGATGATTATGTGCCAGGACACCCATGGGAAGGACTCATAGATGTGATGTTACTAAGCTTGGGTTACTAAGTAATGCTTGTTTTTAATAAGTAATTCTTGGGCGAAAGGTGTACTTGAAAAATTAGGTGTAGATTTCCTATTTAAGACAAGACTAATGGTAGGCATGACCATTACAGACATAGTCTTAA